TCAGAGTTCACTCTCTTTAATTCAGTGAATCTATGTGATGACATTAAAAATAATAAATTCAAAGTAACAATACTGACGTTAACTTTTTGTAACAGTTATATTCAGGCAACCTCAGCTTCCTAAAGGATGGATCAGTGGAAGTAAATATTCAGTTAATTAAATCATAATCAAAATCATAAATACTTTAAATTAGTTAAATAAACTGTTCAAAAGAAAAAGGTATGGTTCTTTAAAAAGTATTATACTTCCCCTCACAACCAGCTATGCCTATTTTGTTGACTTTACTTACTACAATGATCTACTGCTCATTAAACTTGTTTTTGAGATTTGCAGTTTTTGTAGATTATAGTCCTACTTTTTTAAATGCACAGTACATTCCAAATATCACTGACAGTTTAAGTTGCATATAATATTCTGATAAATGTGTAAAGTCTAAGCCTATCAAAGTGTTTGTATTGTTAAAATGTACAGGAACATGTACACAGAATTTTACTTGAGCACTAAAGCACCTTTTTTGTGCTTGTGTAAAGAGGTTTTCCCCCTTTTTTCGCAGGTTTTGCACTTTTCTTTCTTGTGTTTAAAATACTAAAATGTACGCTTTCTGTTGATGTATTTTAACTTTAGTGAAAGTTTTACTGACTCATTAAAGCTTGTTAGCATGTTTACATACTCTTGAAAGCACATTTTTGTTTAATGGGTACAGTAAATGTACACACGGTTTTACAAGCTTGTATCCTCTTAGAGAATTTTACGTTTTGTGATGGTATATGTTTGAGTTATGTTTACTTAAATACTTTGAGGTAATTTGTTACCTTAAATGTTTTAAGTAAGGTATTAGACTTATTTTAGTACTTGCTGGTCAAAATATTTGAAATATATTAAGTTAATTAAGACACATTTTTTTAATGTGTACCCAATATTTTAAATTGAGTATATCAAACTTAAAAGTTCAGAATGTTTTGAGTTATGTTAAATTTAATTAATGTAGTTAGGGAAACTTTAAAAGATTAAGTACACTGTATACATTTTTTAACGTCAAATGAACTTAAATTAATATAGTTAAGAGAACATTAAATTTTAAGTATAGTGTAATCAGATTTATAAAGTTTGGTATACATAAAAATGTAAGTTTTGTTCACTTTAAAGAATAGCGTTTGTCCACTCAAATATTTTGAGATAATCAGTTTCCTTGAAAAATTAGAGTTAATTAAACTTATTCAGGTTCTCAGTGCATAAATGGTTTCCATACAGAGAGGAATGGTGACCATGGTGTCGGTTTTCTTTAGATGTGTCTGAAGTTGAAGAAAGGCAATAGGTAGAAAGCTCTGTATGTTTTGTAACAAATGTCCTGAGACCCGTGTGTGTGGTTGTGTTTGTGTTTGTATCCAGACATTTTCCAGATATTGTGTGTGTTCATATGTGTGTATGCAGCCATACAGTGTTTGTGTATGTGTGTGTGCTTGTTGGTCTGAATGTTTTCCAGCCTCAGTTTTTCTGACCCGCTCGCTGCATTAAAACCACACGCCTGCAGCAGTTTAACATCCATCACTCACTTTCTTTACCAGAGGAAAAACAGCACCTTCAGTTACTGCTGATCACAGTTCACTCATCTGCTAAAACAACACCAGAGCAGATGTTACACTACATTTGGTTTACAGAACCCATAGTATCATCACACCACCAGAACATGGTGATGATTATGTTATTTAAGTTCTTGTCTTAAAAGTATGATTAATATTAATGACAAAAATAAACATACTAGAACTCTACAGTGGACAATCTTATGTACAGTGTTTTTCTGTTTTCAGTGTTTCGTGCAAAATTTCTGTGTTTGCTGAGTGTAACAGCAGTCATGTGTTGTGTAGATGATGTGTTAATTTACTGTCAATAGCTTAAATGAATGATAAAAAGACCACTCATCATGATGGTGGTGGTGGAAAAAGTTCTGTAGGATGTAAATTGTGGCCTTCTGACTCTGTCATGTTCTAGTGTTTCAGTGGTTGCTTATCTGCTTCTCTGTCTACAAACACAAAAGTCTTTTCACATTCTCTGCACATCAAACAAACAGCAGCTAGCAGTGGCAGATATACAGCAGTTTTGCATAGGAGCTGAGGAAGTGAGTCACTCAGAGGTCTCTGTTCTTTTCTGTGTACCAGCTTAGTTTGTCATTTTGTGGTAAACACCACTGTAACTGTTTCTTTACTTATGTGATTATTATTCCACTCATTTTGTCTGGATTGTAACTTCTGTACAAGTTGTTTTGACAGTGAAAGCTATCACTTCAAAACACTTTCTGGTGTAATCAGTTCATATCCACATATCGGTGAACACAGCTGAGCTTTAAGAATTGTTCAATTTAGAGGATATGATACAGAAAATAGCGGCTTAATGTATGACATTTTCTTAGAACTGTGGCAAATATTTGATTGCTCAGCTGTCATCACCTGTGTTTTACTACCTCTTCTATTTCTTTACACATTCATGGTGTTACTGTAGAGCTGGACACCAACTTAATATTCCTTATTCCTGATTTCCAATGAATATTTTTAGTTAACTTCAGAAAGCTTTGTTTAGTGAGTGAGAATGTAACGGTTACATAAACTACATTTTCTTTGTTTAATAACCAAAGAAATAAAAGTTGGTAGAACTCAAAGACCTTTGCTTGAGACTAGTTGTACTTCTTAATACAACCAATATTCTCATCTAGGCTCAACTAAAATTTCTTTTAGTGTTGACAAAAAAATGTCAGTATAACAAATAATTTATAAAAGTTGAGTAAACAAGAAAAAAATTAGGGGAAATTCTGTGCTAAGTTTTTGTTGTACTAGCAAAAAATTTTTACAGTGTATTTCTACTTTTTTAGCATTCGATAAGTTTTTACTATCCAGTTTTTCAATCCTGTACTGTTTTCTGTATTGGCATGGCTACACTGTAAATGAGGGTCTCCCTCAATGAATTCCAAGTTTAAATTAAGGTCGATTGATTGATTGATTGATTGATTGATTGACTGATTAACATTTGTATTTTTGCTGTAATCCTGTGTGTTGTTTTAGTTTCAGTCATCCAGCTTTACACTACATTATACACACCACTAAACCTTTACCAATGTTTTTAAACCAAGATCAGATCCATAACATTCTTATAACCACATGCTACTGGCTGATGCTGGCCTGTAGACCCCCGTGAAGTGAGGCCATGCTGACGACCATGCCAAGAGGATCATGGGAGGTGCCTGTCCTCCAAAAAATGTCTGTTAGTTAAAGTATGTGTATGTGTTATTTATGTGTGGGGTTATTAGGGTTATAATGTGGGTGTTTGTGTTTGGGTTGGTCACCAAGAGGGTGAAGTGTATGGCTATTGGTGATCTCCCCTGCAGGAGAGAATCATGGTCTCCTCTGTGCATTATGTATGATTATGAATGCTATGTACAGTCATGCACTGCAAACCACAACTACAAGAAACAGGTAGTTGCTACATAAATACTGTGTACAAAGTTACACTTTATTTTACAGTTATTACTAAGTTAGTACTAAGTTAGTACTATGTTAGTACTAAGAACTGTCAAGTAAAGTGGTACCCAGCTAATATTTGCCAAATAATGTAGTCTACGCTTTTTTTAAGTAGCTGCTCAGAAAACTCAAATCTTAATGAATAATTTTAAGCTTCAAAAAAAAATTTAAGGCCTTTTAAAGCTGTAATACCAGAAATGTTTTCCAGTCCAGCACTATATCTTGATCTGAATAGATTAGCTTACAAAACCTGCTCTCCATCAAACTGATTTAAACACAGTGAGACCCTCCATTGAGTGTGAGACTCAAGTTGCCTTTTAGTTGTATTTATGGTGGTCTATATTCAGTCAGACTGGTTATCATAAAAGTGTCTGATGACACTGAAAGGCACGGCCTTCACACTGTTTTAATGGTCCTTTTACATATGTTGTTGTTACAGCCTTAAACTAAATTGATTAAATTCAGCTGTAATATTGCTCTTCAGTCTACAGTGAAATACTATGCAATACGTGTGTACAATGTGTACAAGCATACATTTAACTGCTTTATTAAAATGAAGTCCATTTATGGCTCCTATTACTCCTAAAAAAAGGCTTGGGCTAAGCTTGTAAGAGTTCCTGTAGGGCAGTGCTGGTGAAGGGGTGAGCATTTCAGTATAGGAAAAAAACACTAAGGACAGACCCTTGGAGGAGAGAAGCTGCCCCACCATAAAAGACCAGCCCAGTGGCCCTTTGGCACAAGAGGCGCTTACAGCTTTGGAAGATTTGTATCTTATTATAATCTACAGATCTGTGTGATGATCTATAAAACAGGCTAAGCTTTGTGCCGTAGTTCTGAAAGCAGTGGTGATTTTCACATTATTGTTCTCTGATGTCAGAAAATGGTGACTTGAGGTTTCCTGTTCCAAACATTGCACTAATTCTGTCCATCATGTGTTTGTAAAATATATATATATATATATATATATATATGATATATATATATATATTATATATATATATATATTTGTCGATTTAGTCAGATATAAAAATACAGAATTTTTTATCTTCTGAACAAACACAAATACTGATGTACATGGATGTTTCACAACAACACACACAACCTCATATGATCCTCTTGCCCTTCATTCCCTATTATTAAAATAAAAAGAGTGAGATGAAGGACATTAAGATGAATAATACTGTGAGGTAAAGTTCATACATGGTAATCAGCAGTTAGAATACAGTCAGAGCACCAGCTAAACACACATTACACAGCTCTGTAAACTCATATGTCAGTTATTTAAATCTAAGCCCTGTAACAGTTTCTCTCAGTGGATAAAGCAGCACTGTGGCCATCGTGTCTAACATTGTTAGACACAATCATTTCCACCCTGTTGATCAGAGCCACAGGTGAGCTGTGTTTACTTCAGTTCTCACAGTTCTCACAGATTTAAAGATCTCATCTTCAGGGAGATTTAGACTGATTTAGACTGGCCATAGTTTTCTACAGTTTTGTCATAAAAACAATAATCTGTTTATTTTTTTCTGCTTGTGTCATTGTCATGCAGAGTCCTCATTTAAATGTTAAATGCAGCTAAATTGGTTTCATATTATTAAACACATTAATGCCAAACTTTTGAACAGAGATTCCAGACATTTGGACTGTAATGTTCATCACAGTAAGGAGGGAAAACGCTCTGTGATTTTCTGTTCACAGTGACGTCAAGCTCTCTCACACTGATACTGCAGGTTTTCCCTTAATACCGCTCGGTGTAGATGTCCTTAATGGCAGGGAAGCTTGACCCACTGATCGAGTGGTCACTGTCCGCTGCAGTGTTTATCTGCCTGAGATGTAAAACATTCACATTAAGACTCAGAGATTCATAATAAAGAGGATCAAATAATAATTCATTTGTTTTTAAAGGTCATTTCATATGACATAGAAATCTTCTGCTTAGTGCTGTAGCATAAATATAAATGCAGAAATCCCTGAGAAAGAATCTATAAAGTTCTAGATTCATGCGTCCAGCAAAACGTCTGCCTTACCAGATTTTCTCCTCCTCTTCCACACAAACACTCCAGCAACAATGACAAGGAGAAGAGCAAGAACAAGCCCGACTGCAATTCCAGTATTGAACCCGTGATCTCCAGTAGTGGCGTCCGCAGATCCTCCACCTGAAAAAGATTAGTGTAAGACTGACCTGCTGACCTTATCAGTGATGTGTTAAAGCTGAAATATTTTGTAATGTTTATTTCTCTCACCTCTGAGTTCAGACACCAGCAGCACCACCTTCTTCTCCAGGCTGCTGTGCTTAATGATGCAGGTGTAGTTGTGTTTGTTCAGCTCCTCAGGTGAGACAGTCAGAACGCTCCTCTTCTGGAAGGTTCCATCCTGGTTGGGTAGCGTCTCTCTGAGCTCCACGTCCTCATGCAGATCCTCTCCATTCTTCTGCCAGGAGATCATCACTGCTTTGGGGAAGAAACCTGTAGCATGACACACCACTGGAGAAGAAGAGTCCTTCTGGAACAGAGACGCCTCAGGAGGGACTGGAGAGAGAGAGAGAGAGAGAGAGAGAGAGAGAGAGAGAGAGAGAGAGAGACTTAACACAACTTCAGTCCATCAATATAATTACACCTTTCTCACAACAGATCCATCCAGATATATAAAGTTAAAACATGGTTAAAACTTCAAGACTAGGAGAAAATCATCATGAACACAGCACAGTACATCACTCTGTCCCCACACATCAATGAACACCTCTACCTGGTCTACCAGCCTATAATATTCAGGTGGGCCACATGTCTGCCTGTAGCTATTGCCCAATGAATAATCCTCCACTGTAGATCGGCTGAACGCTTCTCTATAGGGGGTTTATACAGGGACCTCCACCTGTCCCTCAGGAGGAAGTCTGGCCTGAACAACTCCAGCCACTGTACCACTCTCTGATGCCTCAGATCAGTCTGGTATGCAACTTTGACACAGGCATAGTACAGATGTTCCTGTTGGAACTCTCTCCTCCCCTGGATCCACCTGAACCGCCAATGTGACCTCCATGCCAGGAGCAGAAAGCCCTGTTGCTTGCTGTCTCTGTATCCCACTTCTTTCCACCAGCTCTCTATAACACCCAGGAAAGGCTGATTTTACTTCTTCCAGCAGTCTAGAGATCACTCTTCATGACTGTAGTCTGGTCACCTCCCTGAGTTCTATGGGTGATTTCCACCCATTAACACCCATGCAGTGCCCCAGCTTTGTGCACCCTTTCCTCTCGAGGCATGCTCTCACGCTAGCTGAGGACAACAGTTTGGTTTGTATCAATGGGTTATGCAGTAATGGTTCTTCTAGTATCCACTCTGTCAAACTTTGAACATCTCTGGACACCTCAAAAACCATCTTCCAGACTAGGAGAAGAGATTGGTAAAAAGAAGTGAGACCAGACAGACTGACTTCAGCCAGTCTTATCCAGAACAGCAGAAGGTCATATCCCAAACTCCCTGCCCTGTGCGGGATTTTACTGGCTGTTTGAGTCCACAGTAGATCTCTCTGGTAAAGCAGATGGGTCCAATGTTGTCCACTCCAAAAGAAATCTACCACTTTCTTCTGTAATCTTCCAATCAGCTCCTCAGGAGGCTCCAACACCACTGTCCTGTGCCACAATGTAGAGGCAGCGAAGGTATTCACTACCAGCACTCTCCCCCTGTACGACAACAGCGGTAATAGCCAATTCCATTTAGACAACCAGGCCGATACCTTCTCCACCATACCCTCCCAGTTTTCCCAATTATTCCCTAAAAACACAACTAAAACCTTTAAACCCTCTCTTCCCCATATCAGCCCTCCTGGATGTTGAGGAAGTTCTGTGTCTGCCCAAAGACCAATCAAATACCCTTCACATTTACCCCAATTCACTTTTGCAGATGATGCTTTTTCATAAATCTCCAAACTTCTCTTAAGTACCTCAACATCTCCCTGAGCAGTGATCAAAACTGTGACACCATCTGCATAAGCAGACAAAGAAACACAAGTCCCATGGGGGTCTTTTGTTATAGGTATCCCCTTATGATCTTGTCTCAGCCTACATAATAAGGGTTCAATCACAATACTATACAGCTGACCCAACAAGGGACAGCCCTGCCGTATACCTCTCTGTACTGGCACCTTCACACTCAAAGCTTTTTCTTAATCAAGTGATAAAATCCCTAATCTATCATTATTCATTAAACGCAAATCAATTACATCCCTCAAAAAGAACAAATTATCCATAATCGTTCTCTCTGGCGCACAATATGTTTGATCTTTACAGATCACAGTGTCTAAATAACATTTCAATCTATTAGCCAAACACTTTGACCATATTTTATAGTCCACACTGAGCAGTGAAACAGGTCTCCAGTTCTTTAAAAGACCCAGATCTCCCTTCTTAGGTAGGAGGGACAAAACGGCCCTCCGACAATTAGTAGGGAGCAAACCAGTCTGTAAGAATTCCAGTGCCACCTCATAAAAATCCTGTCCCAAATCTGTCCAAAACGTTAATAAAATTCAGCTGGTAGTCCATCCATCCCCGGGGATCAACCAGCAGACAGTTGCTTCACCGCCGCTGTAAGTTCTTCAACCGTAATATCAACATCCAGCTTCTTCCTCTGACCTGGACTCAACTGTGGAAGGTCTTGAAGGTGGTCTGCAGCGCTGTCAGAGTCACAGTCCTTAGCACCATACAGTTCTGCATAGTACTGCACCACCAGCCTCCTCATCTCAGCAGGGTCGGACGTCAAGGTCCCATTGGTGTGCCTTAAAAATGTCATCTGCTTCTGTTGTACAGTCTTTCTTTCTAGATTAGAAAAGTAGGCACTAAGCACATCAATGTCCTTAATCGAGCTAATCCTCGCCCGTATTAAAGCCCCTTTCACCTGCTCTTGTAAATAGAATCCCAACTCTTTGTGCTGAGTAACCTTGGCAGAAAATTCTGATATGTGCCTTTCCTACATCCCACCACTGATCTAAGTTTTCAAAAACAGTGCTTCTGAGCTTTCCACTTATACCAAAAAAGCGCAAATTTACCACAAAAAAACGGTCTTGTAATAATTTAACATTAAAATGCCAGTAGCAATTTGCATGTGTTGTAGCCATTACGCTTATTTCCACAGTGACCATATGATGATCGGAAAACCCCACAGAGATTACCCCTGCTCTCACCACCCTGTTGTTAAAACCTTTGCTTACATAAAACCTATCCAACCTAGCTCCACACTCTCTGGAATCACCTACCTTTAAACATGTGTACTGCCTCACTCCCTCATTTTTATCTCTCCATACATCCATTAAACCATATTCACAGACTAAACTAGCAAGTTTATTACTAGACTGACTATATGGTTCCTCCCCATTCCTGTCAATTGTGAACTGTGTAGTGCAGTTCCAGTCCCCTCCCATTACCACATACATATCTGCATCACTATATCCTAAAAGAAAATGGTGTAAATTCCAGAAGACCTCCAAGTGCTTAGTGCCCTTAGTTGGTGCATTATATTAAAAAAAAAAAGTTTCATTGTCACTATCAGAATGGGTTTCTTATAAAAATGATATCAATTTGCTAATCATCTCTGAGAGCATTTCTAATTTGCTCCTCATTCATATTTAAACCCCTTGTGCAGTGTGTGCATATCTATTTTTTCAGTGAAACAGGGCCTCTACCCCTCCGTAATTTAGTTTTGAATTTTTTCAGACGAACACCTTTTTTCACTCAAGGCATCGTATCCAGTCCACTGAATTCGCACTACTGAAGAGACACATATATTAACATCCGGGAAAAAGTCCCTCACATCGACTGCTCTTCCAAAAGTCTCATCCAAGAATGAGTTTATTTCTTGGAGAGAATAAAGATCAGCTTCTTCTGACTGAGACCCCAATTCAGAAATACCAGAAAGCACAGAACATGTATCCTCATCACCCAATTCCTCTTCACCAGCTGCTACGTCTTCTACTGGGGTTTCTGTTATAACTTTCTCCTGCAAAGCTCCACGGTCTAAGCTCAACTGTGTCTCTCCATCTCCCATCTCTTAAACCCCCGTTTACTAGTCCCAGGCACCTGTGACTCATGCAGCACAGGATCTGCCCCCCTAACCTCACGAACAGTCTCCTCCCCACTCCTCTTGCTAGCTGCTCCCTCCACAGAGCTACCGCTAAGCCCAGCAGCGACCCAGTAGGATAAGCGGTTTAGATGATGTGTGTGTGAATTAAACTGAACTGAAATCACAGCCTGTATTCTTACCAGTTTATTAAAAGGATAAAGCTAAACACAAACGCGTCTCTCACTGTAGTGACTCCTACACACACACACACACACACACACACACACAAATGCCCCCCTGCTGGTCAAAACTGGTGTAACATATGAGGCAATTTTTATTTTTAGTGTGCTGTTCATTATCAGAGTGTCTGTTGTATTAATGAATCTGTGTCAGTGTTAAGTGGAATGACGTTTCTCCTCCACATCAGGAGATCAGATCACTGTACCTTTCCTCTCCAGACTGGATCTGCCGTATGCCACATACTTCAGTAACCATGCAGTGCATTCATTCTCCAGGTAGGCTTTAACATGAAGAGCTTCATCTTCACTCTCCCACCTCTCTTTGGTAATAACAGCTTTAGGATGAGCTGCAGTCCAGGTTTCAGTGTTCAGATCCAGACTGAGGAAGTCTTCTCCATCATAGCCGTACAGCCAGAATCCTCTAATAGTGCCATCATCATCCAGCTCACAGCCGTACATCTGCTGCAGTGTGTGAACTCCTACACACACACACACACACACACACAAACAACATATGAGGTGTAACATATGAGGCAATTTTATTTATTTATTTTTTGGCTGAAATTGTACAAGTGATGCTAGAAGTATTTTTAACTGTTTTTGGTGTTTTATACTGGCAGAAAAAATAAATAATGTGGAATTTATTTTAAACTTTTTTTTAATCGTATCCTTCAGAGCTTCCATAGTAGATTCACCTTGAATGTGGTTGAAGCGCTTCATTAGATTAGCCACATCATGTTTGAACTTGTCCTGATGATCCTGACTGGTCTGTGTCTCTTCATTCCAGTAATCTTCATCCTCATTCTTCTCAATCCACTCAGTCTTTGGGATCTTCTTCATGATGTTACTGTCATAGTAAACAAACTGCTCTCCATCCAGCAGACCAACAACGGTGAACTCTGGGAAATGAAGTCGTGCTGTGACTGCAGTGTAATGGTACTGCAGAGAGTGTGTGGCTGTAAAGAAAAAAACCATATATTTCACCATACAGTCCATACATACTTAGCTGAGGTCAAGCTTAAGATGTCCACCCTGTCATGGTGAAATAACAATTAAAATAATTGTACAAGGTCGTCTTGAACATTTAAACATGTCTACAATTGTAAGTCAAGCATGTATTCATCACTTTAGATAAACTTGCCCGCCCTGTCATTGTCCACCAATAGGATAGACACTGGCAGAATACAGTGGACATGCCTTTTCTTTGTTGTTATTGTTGTGTTTAATAAATAATAGTTCCTATTAACTGTTAAACGATTGATGTTACAGAGGCAGAGATTTTTTGCAAGGCTTTAAAACAGTCACTCATCACACTATGAAAAGGGCACTTACATAGTCAGCATAAGCAAAACACAGACACACTCACTCACTCACTTAATCACTCACTCACCCACTGACTCACTCACCCACTGACTTACTCACTCAATCACTCACTCACTCACTCACTCACCCAAAGCCACTCCCATCTGTCATGACCTTGTCCACCTTCATGTTTTATTAAAATAAATTAGCAATTCTTTACAGGTAAACAAACCATTATAATTGATTTACTGTACATAAGAGTGGGTCAAGTCATTTATTTTAACTTACAGTAGACTCAGCATCAAAACAGCAACTCTAAAGCTACACTCTTAACATTGGTAAAGACAAGGTTCTTTATAAACCACAAACACTCAAAGAACCATTCCATGCTTAAATCGTTCTTTGCATGGTGAAATCATGCCTCAGATTGATGGAGAACGTGTAGTACATTGTTCTACAGCCCTGTTTCCAAAAAAGTTGGGACTTAATCATTTAAACCTCATGGTTAATAAATTGAAAATAGTAAAATGACAACGTTTCATTATTTAAAAAAAAATCTATGCCCATTTTGAATTTAATGTCAGCAACACATTTAAAAAAAGTTGGGACGAGGAAACAAAAGAAGTTGTTCATCACTCTGTGAAAGGCTGTACGATCAAACAGTGCAACAATTCAAGAATAACGTTTCTCAATGTAAAATAGCAAAGAACATGGAAATTCATCATCTACAGTACATAATACCATTAAAAGATTCAGAGTATCTGGAGAAATCTCTATATGCAAGGGACAAGGCCGAAAACTAATGTTGGCTGGCCGTGATTTCTGGGCAGCACTGTCTGTGAAAACAGTTCATCACTGCATCCACAAATTCAAGTTAAAACTCTAAAACGCAAAGAAGAAACTGTACATAAACAGCATCCAGAAACGCTGCCACCTTCTCTGGGCCCGAACTCATTTAAAATGGACTGAGGGGAAGTGGAAAAGTGTCCTGAGGTTTGATAAATCAACATTTAAAATTATTTTTGGAAATAATGGACACTGTGTTCTCTGGGCTAAAGACCACTCAGCTTGTTATCAGTGCACAGTTCAAAAGTCAGCATTAATGATAATATAAAGGTGCATTAGTGCACATGGTATGGGTGATGTGCACATCTTTAAAGGTACATCCACTAATGCAAGTTAAAACGCAAAGAAGAAACCATACATAAACAGGATCCAATGGACTGAGGCGAAGTGGAAAAGTGTCCTGTGGTCCGACAAATTGCACTTCGGAAAATTTTGGAAATCATGGATGCCACATCCTCCAGGCTAAAGAAGAGAGGGACTACCCGGCTTGTTATCAGTGCATAGACCAAAAGCCAGCATCCGTCCATTTCTCCATAGTAAAATAGTCCAGGTGTTAAACTGGCCTGCCTGCAGTTCAGACCTGTCACCGCTGAAAACATTTGGTGCATTATTAAATGAGCAAACTAGACCCCAAACTGTTGAGCAGCTAAAAATCCTGTATCAAGCAAGAATAGGAAAATATTTACAGTCCACAAGTTTAAAAATGCATAAATTTTACACAAAAAACTAAGAGAAAGCTGATTGTCTTAATTATAAGTAATGATCACTTACATATATTAACATTTTGCATGCATCATTCGAAAACTATAAAAGAAAGAATTTATGCATACAAAAATGACACTTTGCAGCTTATGAGACGTTGCTTTCTGTTCATGTCCAATGGTTTATTAATGTTAGTTCAGTTCAGCTTTAAAACCTGTCAGGTTAAGGTGATAAAACTGCAGAAGTTTACGGAGCAACAAATGAGAACTAGAATAGTGCATTTCCTGAAGGAAACAGTGATGGCGCAGCTGAAGCTTGTTGCTAGGGGGTTGCTAAGGTGTTGCTAGGCGGTTTCTATGGCATGAGAGGTGTGTACTGAATGGTTGTTAGCCAGCTACAAAGCAGTTGCTAAGTGTTGTTTAAAATGAATGCGAGTCTACGGGAGGAACAAATAAGAGTGTCTGTAGTATGGTTGTAGAGTAAAGATTGGGGACTTGTCTTGAGTAAGTACCTGCAGTTTGGTGGATGTTGGGCCAAGGAAATAATAGACCTAGGTAAGACCTGTCCTGAGTGAATGTATCCTATTCATGCAGTTTGGTGGCTCAGGAAAAATACTGTAATAGGGCTTGTGTGGACAAAAGTATGAATGGGAGTCTGTGGGAGGTAAAAGTGATGGAAAAACAACACATATTGGAGTTTGGGTTAGTATGACTGTGGATTAGAGATTGGGGACCTGCTCTGAGTGATTACATGTAGTTTGGAGGCTGTCAGTCAAAGGAAATAATAGAATGGCAAAAATGAATGGGTGTCTATGGGAGATTTATGTGAGTTTATGTGAAACTGCATCTTTCGGTTGAGCAGAAGTACAGTAGATTGTAGTGCAGTTTTTCATCCCATTCTTTCTTATGGGAAAAAATGTAATTTATTAAAGATTGTACAAAAAACGTATGTTGGATCAAAAAGCTGCACACAAGCAAACCATTCCCGGTCAGACTGAACATTCTGGAGGTGGAACAGTGTTGATATCTTGAAAACTGCGGGATGAGTTAGCAGACAAAAATCTGACAGAAAAATAGAAAGAAAAAGAAGAAATATAAATTGGATAACAATAGTGTTATCACTAATAAAGAGTTTACCGTCTGATCAGATCAGTCTGCTGCTGTAGAATCTGTGTGGAAATCCAGATTTAATGCCTGATTATCTTCAAAAAAATGTTGCAGATCTCAGTTCTGCCAATAAAAGTAAAAAAAAAAATACTTACTATATTTCTATAGATTGGCTGAATAAAAATCATGGGCTGCTGCTGTGAGGGCAGCAGGACCCTCCTCCCCCCATTCCCCCCAAACTAAAAATTCTTTAAATCTACACAACTCATGTGACACATTTATCATTATAACAGCGAATTTCGGTGAAAGACGACTAATGTGCATTTGAATGTTTTCCTGCTGGTCATCATCTTGTTTTTATAATGTACCTGTAATCTAGGGCCATATTACAGAAACTTCCTGTCTGTTTGTCTTAAGATCTGACAGGTCAAGATTTTTCAAAAATTCGTATTACAGAAGCAAAACTTAATTTCTTAAAAAATCTTAATTTAGGAACCTTATCTTACAGCATCTTATCCTAAGTTAGAAAACCTACTGGGTCAAGGTTGACAGTCAACTGTCATGTCTGTTAGCAACCAACCACAGCTGAAACGTAAACATATAATCAAAACCATCAAGCTAGTTAGCCAGACAGCTGTCTAAAATTACTGATGTAAGACAGGTCAAACAAAACTGAAGCACAATAAACTTGAAGAATTTTGTGAGAGCGCCCTCTGCTGTTTATCAGAGCATCGCCACTCTCCAGTTTCAGTTTCCCAAACGCTTTAGCTGAGTGCGCTACTGTTATTCCTAATAAACAGACACACGTTCAGCTCTGTCTCCTCATTATTCACCACCATCACTGTAACATTTCATCATCAACATTCATACAGGAAGGTAATAAAAAAGTCAAAGCACTATTTTCAGTGTAAATAAATGTTGCGTCATTATGCCAGTTATAGTGAACTGTGCTGTCTGTCACTGCATAAAACAATAGAAACAGATGGTTAAACAGACCTCTGCAGTCAAGTCACCTCTGCAGTTGATCCTAAAGTTAGGACAGGTTTTAGGAGGTTTAGTCTAGTTAGGACGTTTCTGTAATGCTGTTTTCTTGTTTGGAGTTAATGGATAAGATTATGTACTTAAGAACTGTTGTTCTGTAATAGCTCCTGTCCTAAATCCATCCGAACTGAAGTTGTCATGGTGACTAGCAGATAAGATTTAAGACGTTTTGTAATACGGCCTCAGATTACTGGCTTTTTCTCAGTAACTGTAACAGAATACAGATCTTTTTTTGTTTCCTGATTACGTGATACCGTTACATGAATTCCCATACTACCCAACCCTGCCCATGCCGTAACACTACCTCCACCATGTTTGACAGATG